CAGAAAAGCTCAGTGCGGAAGAGCATAGGACCATAATCACGTTCCTGTTTCTCCAAGGTTGATCATAAAAATCACAGCCCGTTTGGTCTCTTTTATGTACTCATAAAGTACCCAGAGAGCTAAACTGTTCCCTACCAGTCTTGGCAGTAAGATGATGGTGTACATGATGGCGTAAAAGCGTTTGGACAAGTCATGTTCCTTGTTGCAGCCAGAGCCGTCGGCTGCCATGATGATTTGATGAAATGAGGTGACATTGACGCTCAGGCAGATGTCAGATAAATAAGGAAAGATTTAGCAGCCTTGAATTCTCACAGAGAGGAACCTTCAAAACCTTGGCAGCCCACGTGATGGCCAACTTGATTGTGACAGTCACTTTTTGTGACGAAAGGGCCTTACGAGACCCCATCCCTTTCTGCCGTTGTTCTTGGGGAAGGGGCTGCTCCCCCTGGGTCACTTCCGCTCTCCTTTGCCTGGGAGGACCGTACCTGGAGAGATTTTTTTATGCCTCCTCCTCGTCCTCCAAGCTCAGGATATCATCCAGGCTGTCATCTTTATTGCCCTCACACAAATCCTATGAAAGAGTGATTTGGAGTTAAATTAGAATCAGGACTCTTGCTGGAGACCGTTTGGGGCCCCTCCTTTTATCAGGAGCCTTTGCGCTCTGGATCGCCAAGAAGGTCTCATTCTTTAAAAGAAGGACGTCTCTCCAGGGAAGGGGCCCGTGGGGTGTGCCAGGGTTGGGGGGCATCACGGAGGCCTCCTTCCTCCACCCAGTGCCAAAGTGGGCAGCCCTTCCTTCCTTCCTTCCTTCCTTCCTTCCTTCAAGAGTTCTCCACATTCTATTCAATGCCGTCTCCTAGTGGCGGCTCTTCCAAGGCACCCTTCCTTCCTTCCTTCCTTCCTATTTGCCATTCCTCAGGTCATCTTCGTTTGCATTCCCTCCTCTGGCCTAGCAAGAGGGAAAGCAGGAACCAAAGGCATCTTGCAGCAGCCGTGGGCTGGAGGATCCCTTTTTGATCCCTTCCCTCCTTTTCTTATTTTGCCTAGACATAGATGGAGGAGGAAGGGGAAGGAAGCCATCTCCTGTAGCCCCAGGGGTCAGATTCCTTTCGGGGAGGCCTTAGCAAGCCCCCCAAAGGAAAAAACCCTCTCTGCTTATGCCCTCGAGGAACAGCTGATCCTCGGGGTAGAAGCAGACAGGGAAGGAAGGGATGAATATTAGAGTGTTATATTCACTGCTTCATATTCCTTGCGGGGGGGGGGGGCCGCTGGACCCCAAGAATACGAAGCAATGAATACCTGGTGAATCGGGGATTTTAATGGTTAAACTCCTGTACTGCGGCCAAAACTGGGGTTCAGTCGCAGGTAGACAGCTCAAGGTGGACTCAGCCTAATGTGTCGCCTGCATAATAAACTTGTAAACCGCCCACAGAGCGCTTTAAGTGCTCTTGGGGCTGGATATAAGCAGTGCATTTCTGCTGTTGCTTTTTCCTCTAAGATTCCTGCTGCACATGCACTGCTTTCCTCCTCCCTCGCTGGTGGACCCACAACTAACCAGACCAGACCAGATGGGCGGAATATAAATCAAATAAACCAACCAACCAACCAACCAACCAACCAACCAACCAACCAACCTTCGCGGCCCCTTTTGTTCCAGTCACAATGGAACCCCAAGAGGAGGGGGAGTGGACTGGCACATGGGGGGGTGTTGAAATTAGAGGGAACATGGATCAGGCGGGGGGGTGGACGGGAGCTTGGGGCAAAAAAAGGTTCCCCCCTTGGTGGACCCCCCCCGCCCCACCAACCCTCCCGGTCACTTACTCTCAAAGCACGAACCATCCTCCTCCTGAGTCCCATGACTCCAGACGCTTGCGCGGAACCACTGCAAAACAAGAGAGGCTGGCAGCTCCTCTTGTCAGCAGCTTGGCCAGGGCACAAATGACCAGTTGCCTTGGGGTGTTGTGTGATCTGGGCACAGCTCAATCCTGGGCACCAATGACCAGTCACCCTGGGGTTTTGTGTGACCTGGGTGTCGCCGTGGCAACCCCCTAAAACCAAGCTGACTAATCCAGCAGAGCTGTCAGCCCCCCTGGCTACCCCATTTCCCTGAAAATAAGACCTAACCTGAAAATAAGCCCTAGTAGGATTTTTCAGGAGGCTCGTCATGGAAGCCCTACCCCAAAAATAAGCCCCAGTGAAGTGAAACCCAGCCCTCCTCCATTGTGCAGCAACCAGAAGAAGAGGACATGACAGTATTTGAATCAATGTAGATGGTTGTACATTAAAAAAATAAAATAAAACATCCCCTGAAAATAAGCCCTAATGTGTTTTTTTTGGAGCCAAAATCAAAATAAGACCCTGTCTGATTTTCGGGGAAAGACGGTAGTAGCAAGACTTTCGTTGGGCAGCCCGACCTAAAGTTGTCCAAAGCTGAAGTTCCCTTCACCCAAATACCAAAGCCCACCTCCCTCTGCTCCCCTCCTCATTTCGTTCTCCTTTTTTCGCCTTACTATCAGACCCTTTTGGAGAGTGAATTCCCAGCATCTCCCAGAATGGAAGTTCCTGAGACAGCCAGGCCTGATCCTGAATATCAGGTCTGGGCTGAGAGGGCCCCCCTTCTTATTCCCGCCATGCTTGTCAGTGACCAGAGAGGGTCTTCTGAGTTTTTGGTTACAGAACCAAAGAGAACAGAAGTCAATTTCCAGCATTCACAAGCAAGCAAGGTCTTTCATTGGCTCAAAGAAAAAAATACAGTACATTAAAAGCTTTTCTAGTTCTCGAGAAATGTGTGCCTGGCTTGATGGTTAAAAAACAAAAAATGGGTAAGGAGGCCAAGGCCTGGGAGCCCAAACTACTGTATATGGATTGTGTGAAACCATGGAGATCTGCTCTCCAACTCAGTCTCAGGTTGGGAAGCAGTGCCGGAAGAGTCACGAGGATGGTGCCGATGCAAAGCCTACTAGGAAGAAGACAGTAGGGAGACTCAGGTCCTTTCCTGACATGGGGTTGGGGGTGATGGTGCTGAATCAGATCAAATCCTGTACCATTGACAGCTCCTAAGGTCTCTGAGGCCTTGAGGTTCTTGATCCATCCAGCCATTTCATCTCTTAAAGGGACCGGGTGCTCCTCAGAAGGCCTGGCATTGCCTCTGGGCCTGGTTACCCGGACAATAGGAACCACTGTTGAATTGGGTTCTGTGTAATTAAAACCAACTTTTAAAATCCTGGCTACACCACTTAGAGTCAAGTCCTCTATTTTTGAAGAGGCCGGTGGATTGTTTTAAAATTGAACACACTTGTGAAATTCATTCTTTATGAATCACTTTGGTGAGGTGAATCCACCTGTTATATTAAATACTGCCTTTGTGGGTGGCAGTGGGTTTCCAAAGTAATGTCGCTATGCCTCTTAAAAATGTGTGTGTGTGTGTGTGTGTGTGTGTGTGTGTGTGTGTGTGTTTTAAAGAGAGAGAGAAATGCATGCATTCCAAAGGATTCCTGAAAATTGAAGAAATATGGCACCAAATTGAAAAGAAACGGGGAAGTGAAGGTTGCAATCTTTGCTGATGCGCTGGGATCAAGCGACATGGAAACTGTGTGGTCTGCAAACACGCTGGTTAAGGAAGCGATTTGAAATCTCACAGGTAGTGCTGTTGTTGGCAGCAGTCATGTGTTGTTAGATTGCTGTTTCATATCTTCGGAACGGCAAGTAAAGAAAATGTTTTTCATTCTTTCTGCTTCAAATGTTTTAGATTGAGTTATCGAGACTGTAAGTGCCAGTTAATGAGAAATAGGGGTGACCTGCACTTCTGCTATGAAGCTAGAGGAACTGAAGCAGAATTCAAAACTCTGCCACAACAAAGTAACTCTGAGCTTCGACTTGAGCTTTTGACTTCCATTACAAAGTAACTTTTAAAAGTAACTACAGTCTTCATAAAGGAAAATTAGTTATATTACTTTTTGAAAAGTAACTAGTTAAGTAACTGGGTCATTTGGAATTGCTTACTTTCAAGTTCTGTGAAATATCATAAATAATGTTTATAATATTTACATGCCATCCAAGAAATCCCCTGGGTGCTCACTGTGAAAGGTTGCTGGCAGTCCTATTCCAGACTAAAATAAGAAATTTGTCATATATTTTTCCCCAAATATGGTGAAAAGGCACAAACACCTAGTAAGATCTGGAGGTGGAAGGCAACGCTGTGTAAAGCTGCAACCTGTTCATCGAATACATAAATGTTTATGTTGGTTAAAAACATGGCGACGGGGCTCAGCCAGAGGATAAATATCAAACTCTGAAGGCACCTTCACCACTCAAGGACCTGCACTCAGACCATCTGTGATCCTTGGCGTGTGATGGCTGGATTGATGGGGAGTTAAATTTTTGATTAAAAAAGTATCACAACTTGGCCAACATCTTGTGGCTGAGCATAATAAATTGCACTAGAGTAGGTCCACTGAACAAGTGGAGCTTTGGTGACTCAATGCCTCTGTATATTTCATTGATTCAAATGGGCCTACTCCACCTTAATGCTTAGTTAAACGCTTAGCGATAGATCGCTCACTTTTCCTTCTCTCTTTTCTCCACAACGGATTAGCGATGCATTGCTTTGCCAATGTCTTCCTTATTATAATTGTCGTCCCCATTTCTGTGTGTCTTATAGTTGTTTTCCCCCCTTAGCTTGGTGGTGATGGGAGAGTCTCGGCACAGCCACAGAGAGAAACACATTCCAGGCCTGCCTCCTGTATGTTCACCTCATTGCACACAAATGTCGCTTTAGCGATATATCACTACCTTTTTTTAAAACAAAATTTTAGGGCGACGGAGATCCAGAAACAGGACAGGAAAGGAATCCGTTTAAATGAGGTGGCCTATGTCGCCTCCTGAACTGGAACAAATAGCAAGAAATATGCCAGTTGAAATGACAGTCATGTGAAAGGGGGAACCGTGGCCTTTATACCAGATACAAATACATCGATATAAAAAAGAAGAGGAAAAAGAAATGAATCAAATGGTCCGTGTGATTATGCCCTTGTTTTAGCCGAGTAAGTCCCAGTGAGAGTAGGCCCATTTGAATGAAGAGAATTTACAGAGGAGCTGCGTCACTAAACGCCCATCCATTCAATGGGGTCTACGCTGGTGGAACTTAACACACAAAGCTTTTTCTGATCAGCAGAAGCATCTCTCCACGCGAGAGGCTGAAAGATTGACAGTTCCGAGAATGCCTAGTTTATAAACTACAGGGATGCTGGAAGTTACACTTCTAGAGTAACTTTGCCAAGCAGTACTCAACATGGCGAAGTTTCTTCGGTGCAATAGACATCGAGGTAAAAGATGTATTTGTTGTTGTACGAGTCTAGATTGTCTCGGAAGCAGACGGCTGCTGTCTTGTCACATTCACAAAGCTGGGTCTCACAGTGGGATCCATTTCCTAGGGGGGGAAAACACAGAGGACACTTTAATCTCTGACCCTTATTCAAGATGCTCAGCCTCTCTGGTTCTTCCCCTTTGTGGATAGCCATCCTAGGATTATTCCGCTGAGAGGGGTTGACGAAGGATGGACACGGTGAAACATTTCATGTTTCTTTCATTTTGTGTTCTTTTTTGGGGGGGATGCCTGCCTTTTTGCAGTAGGACCCCTGTATCCACGGGATTAGTATCCACTTATTCACTTATCCACGGCCTGAAAACATTTAAAATATTAAAAGAAAAATCCTGAAAATATATATATTCCTAAAAATTAAGTTACTAGAACTGGCCACTACAGGGTAAAACACGAAAGGACACCACCACCCCCAGGGACTTGGCCAGACCAACCTAATTTGTTCCTTCCCTCGAGAAATGAAAGGATTTACTGCCTGTTCCCACTGCCCCCCCTCCCTGGAAAGCATTTGACTGCGGTGTCTGCTTTGTTTTCCATAACGGTAGGCTGGCCGTCTGAGGCAGGACTTGAACCTGTGTCTCTCAGGCAACTCACCGCATGTGATATTTCCACCTTCAATGGTGTAATCGTATCTCTCTGTAGTCGTGTGGCAGTCTTTCAGCTTTTCGTAACAGCAGTCATGGGCGAAACAGCATCTGTTAGGATGACGGAAGAAGACCTTGAATTGAAACAAAACTGGCCTCTGAGCCTGGAGGTTAATGTTTATGACACATACACAACCTCTCTTTACAGGTTAGCTACCCATTGGCCAGAGGGTCAGACAAGGCTGTATAGAACCAGGCTATAATAGTGACTTTGAAAAATGGCAAAAACTGTGGTCTAGAAACTATAAGATGACAATGGCAACATCTTATAAAGAGAATTTATATACAGTGGTGCCTCGCTTAGCAATGTTAATCCGTGCAGCAAAAATAGCTGCTAAGCTATTTCATCGCTAAGCAATATTAAAAAGCCCGTAGAAACGCATTAAAACGCCATTAATGCGTTCCTATGGGCTTAAAAACTAACCTTAAGTGAAAATCCTCCATAGGGACTGCCATTTTTGGTGCCTCTAAAGCGAGGCAACACAGCGGGCGGCCATTTTGTTTACCAGCGGCCATTTTGGAACCGCTGATCAGCTGGCCGAAAATGGGGGCTTTGCGATGATCGCTTCCCTGCGATCATCGCAAAGCGAATTTTCCCCATAGGGAACATCGCAAAGCAATCACTTTTGCAATCGTGAAAACAGTGTCGCGAAGCGATTTCTTCGTTAAATGGAGCGATCGCTATGCGAGGCACCACTGTAAAATGTTTTCTAGATGGCAATTACCACCCAATAGATTAACTAAAATGTACTCTAATAGGTCAAGTAAATGCTGGAAATGTCATTAAAAAACTGGAACTTATTATCACCTTTGGTGGACCTGTGATAAAGCAATTTGTTTTTGGAAAAGAAACACATATATGGCTTGTTAAAATAATCAAAAAACATGCAGATTTTAAGCCAACTCTTTCTATTAGGTATAATACCAGAAAGTGTGGATAAACAAAGTGTATATTTAATGCTGCATATTTTAACAGCCTAAAGGGCTATATTCGCACAATACTGGAAAAATGAAGAAACACCCACAGATCAAGAAATAATTAAAAAGATATTGGACTGTGCCGAAATGGATAGACTGACACTGAAAATTAAAGGAAATCTCACTGGGTGAGAGACAGTAAGAACTGTGGCTGGGCTGTTGTCAACTGCCATCCGGAGTTTGGCTCTATCTCCCTCCGTTTTCCAGGACTAGGCCCTGCGACTCCTGATTGCCTC